CTATAACCTGCCTACAGAACTGCTAAATTAACAAACAGGAAAAACTTTTAGTATATAAAATAATCCCTTCACACACAATGATCAGAGAAACCTACTCAGTGGGCAACAACGAAACATGACTGCATTAAACTGAAGTGAAATTATCTGCATATCCCAATTCTCTTCCCTTCTTTGACTGCTGGGTGTTACTCATTTACTGTTGCCCTAAGCCTTGGCCTGTCCAGCCCATAAATTAATATATCACTGACCCGAAATGGGAGAGCTGGATTTAATTTCTGTTTTAAGGGAAACACACATACACGTCTCCAAATATTTCCCACTAAGTAGTCACTAAACTCTTCAAGTTATTGTTAAACTTTTCATGCCCAGATAGTTTATGTTCTTCAGCTTTTCTGTTCCTTTAAAATTTATTTCTTAAAAAGCACAGATTAGGCTGGGATGTTTCTGTGTGAATCAGAGCTCCCTTGAATACAAACAGAGAACAGAAATAGGTTCCGACTCTGACATTTTTATTATTGTGTGTGTTTATTTTCAGGGCCTGGTCAATACTGAGAGATTGGCCACATAATGAAGATATCAAGATTTCTGTTTGTCCAGAAACAGATAAACACTTCCCTAAAACAATACACTGCCGCCAATTATCTGGCTGAACTACTCACCCCTCCAACTAGCAAAAAAAGGGAACATTCAGTTTCATTCAACAAAGAACAGGGAAAACACACCACCTCTTTTCTTTTCTCAATCCCCAGCTTATGCCCACCGCTGCTTGGTATAGCAGGGAACAGCACGACAATTGAGGAATGAAACTAATCCAATGGAAATTTAATTTCTAAAACAGGTTATTGGAGTTATATTTTCTTTTATTCTCTATTGCAGAAAGCAATGAATTGTGCAGTCAAGTCTCAATAAGCCAAGTCAAAAGGAACAAATATACTATGATGGGAAAAGTCCATTTATAAAGCACCGTCCCCACCTACAGACTTGGGAAACTCACCCTGGTTTCCCTGGAACATTCCCAGGTTATAATCACACATGGCACTGCCCCAGAGTGAAATCAGAAAAGGCATTTCTCTAACACTTTAAATATTGCATTAGTTGGCACAGCACCAAGCTGGTATTTCTACTCTTTTTGGCCTTTTTATATTTTATCCCCTCTCCCGCCATATCTATTTGCACTAGGAGGCCTGAGACTGGCCCAGACTAAAACCAGGGAAAGGGTTTTCCAGAATCTCACATTCTTTCATTCAGAGTAGCCCTCCAGAATAGTATTGTTAATATAAGTGTTTACTTTAACTAGGGATCTGAGTGCTCGCCATGTCTTTTGCTTTTATCTTACCAGGTGCTGCCAAGGGTGGAGAGGAAGAGATTTCCTGTTAGGTCACAAGGAGGTATGTGTGCGTTCCAAAGTGAAGGAGCTCATAGGGAGGAGGCAAAGATGGTTTCAAGCAAATATTGATCCTAGAGACAATTCTGGCAATACAAGATCATCCCCTCTGGCCTCTGATATGCCTCCTACATGGACAAGAGGCTTAGGCGATATAAAGCTGGCTACATTGCTTTATGTCTCTGGGGGACTCCCCTGTGTCAGGGGAATTCCCGCCTGCCCCTTTAGGGAAGCTTTAAATCCCCTTTGTGGCTTTAGAGTGGTGCAAAGCGGCTTACCCAGGGCTGAGGGTCTGACTCATGGTGTTTTTGTGTTGTAGACACTGGGCCGGATTCCCCACTGCCTTGCACCATGTGCCATCATTTGCACCTGTACAATGTGATAGTGTTTTACACTCACTATTCATAGGTATAAAGAACTATACGAAGTGTAAAGCAGCAGAGAATCAGGCCTAGTGCATTTAGTCAGGCAGGCAGGCAGGGGTCCTGATTGACCTCTATGTTTGTTATCCAGTTTCATGGCAGCGTCACTCCATTGATTAAACAAAACAAATTTGCCTTAAAATAACTTTGAGATTCTCCATTTCCCAATGGTTTCTATTAGTACCTGAATGTTCTCAATCCTAATCTACTCACAAGATCCTCCTCCTGCTTGGAAAGACAATGCTCTAACATTAAAATGGCAATTCCAATCCTGCCCCAATTCAGGCAACGCTGAATGGAGACACTGAAAAAGTGGCAGGGATTTCTGAAAGCTGTTCTGAAAATTCCTACAGTCAGTAAATATTTATTTAGTTCTCCAAGACCCCAATCTTGCAATTGTATCCGGGTGGACAAAGCTCTGCATCAAATCCCACTCCAGTGCAAAGGTCCTGCCGCATGGGTCCAACTGCAGGATCAGGGGTAGGTATTTATAACCAATCACTGAAGTTTTCCTTCCATGGCGAAGTGCAAAGATGATCACTAAAGTACCATATTAGTGACACTCAGAGAATGCATCTATCACTATCTGGGATGCAATCCAGACTAGCGGGAGGTTGTGTCACCACCTGCTCTGCAACCTTAGGTGCCTCACAATGCTTTGCTGCTGTAGCTCCCAACCTGGCCACTCACAAACAGCCAAACAGCATGCGCGTCACACCCCAAGTGTCTTTGTATAGCTGCAGCCTTCCAGCTACACATGAGCCACACTCTAGATTCCCGCAGCCTTGGTTACTACTTGCGGGGTAATCCCAACACACTCCCAGTCCCAAATTTTCCCAAAAACACATGCATTCTGCAGTGCCTAGCCCTCTCCTGGACAGTCACATATTAGAGGTCCATTGCCCCATAAGGGGTCAATGAACAACAGTTTACTACTTTAATTGGAGTTATCAAACAATTCAGTTTAAACACAACACTGGATTGGTATTGATTAAAGAATAAATATAGTTTATTTAACTACAAAGAGATAGGTTTTAAGTGACCACAAGTACAAGATATTAAAAAGTCATAAAATGCTTTCTAATGCCCCCACTTAAACTAGATTTGGTTCCAGGTAAAATCCTTACCACACATTCCCAGCAACATAGCTGACCAAATTTTCAAGTCAGGATCTCTCACAAAGTCCAAAGGCTGGTTCCTCTGTATTCTTGGGTGAAAGAGAGACAGACGGATAGGGAGAAAAGAAAGTGAGAGTACCTGGGGCGTTTTGCACCTCATTTTGCACCTCATTGCACCTCATAGTCCAGTCACCCTCAAATGCATTTTGCTGAAGTAAAGTTCCTTCAAGCTGTGGAGATGGAGGCATGGAGTCTCATGGTGAAAGAGGTTCCCTGTTTGTTAAAATTCTGCTAAAGGATGGCCACTTGACTGCTGATTGCAAATCAATTTTGATCACACCTGGCTAAAGGCATTGGCTTGTCTTTGAGAAATAGGTTTACCCCCTCCCCAAACTTGTCTGGTAAACACACTTCAGCCATAATTTTAGCCTATGTTCATAACTTTACATATAACATTGTTACATACATTTCATCTTGATATTATTGGCCAGCAAATTATTAGTTTTCAAATGATGGCTCACAAGGCACATTTTGTACAAAGATTATTACAGTGGTGTGTAGGGTGTGAATACAGGGATGCATTCGGTCACAGAACCACATTTATCTAGAAAGATTTCTCCTTTGCGAGGAAGTCTCATTCAATAGAGAGATGATGACCTAATGGAGAGAGCATTCGACTAACTCAGGAGACTTGGGTTCTCGTCTCAACCCTTGCTACCGGCCTGCTGGGTGACCTTAGGCAAGTCACTGCACCCATCTGTGAATCACTTTCCCCATCTTAAAACAGGGAGAATGACACTTACCTCCTCGGTAAAGTGGTTTTGGATCTACAGCTGAAATGTGTTGTATAAGTTCTTGATACTATTATTATAAATATAAACTCTGATTTGTTATCGGTAATTTATTATGAACATTCCAGGGTTCTCGCCTTGCAATGTTACAGCAAAAGACTAGATTACGCAGCCACATGAAGGCAATACAGCAGCACCACAGAAACCACACCTACAAATCAATTCCTCTCTCTACCTTGTACCTAACAGCAATCACCTCGCATGAGCCAGGCCCTCATCCAAAAACATTAGGGTCCAGAGAAGGTAGTAAGCATGGGCGGCGAGTCCTATGGGCCCATGGTGCCTGGGCACCAGGAATATTCTTGGCCCGGGGCCTGGCTCCAGCAATGTTTGGGGCCGGGTCTCTCCCTCGGCCCTGCCTTCCGCCCCCGGGTCCCCCCCATGCATCTCCCGGGCTATTTAAAACAGCCCGAGGCCCCCACTCACACTGGCCGTGCAGCAGAGCTGAGCGACTTCCTCCCTGCTCGCTCCATGTGGCTGCCGGCCCCTCCCTGCAGCCCCTGGGCAGGGTGGGTCTGTGCCCTGCCCCAAGTACCCCTGCAGCCAATGGGAAGCTGCGGGGGCGGTGCCTGGGGGTAGCAGCACATGGAGACTCCTGGCCTTCCCTGCCTAGGAGCCCCAGGTAAGCGCTGCACCCCTCCACCCCTTCCCAGAGCCTGCACCCCCTCCCTCCGTCCCCCTCTGGCCCCAAACTCCTTCCCAGAACCTGCACCCTGTCCCTCTGCACCCCCTCCCATCCCCAAGCTCCCTTCCAGAGCCTGCACCCCCACCCTGCACCCAAACTCAGTCCCAGCGCCTGCCCCCCTCATCCCCTCCTGCACCCCCAGCCCCTGCCCTAGCCTGCACACAGCACCCAAATTCCCTCCCAGAGCCTGCCCCCCTCACCCTCCCCCGCACCCCCAGAGCCTGAACCCAGCACCCAAACTCCATCCCACAGCCCAACCTTTCACCCGTCCTGCACCCCAATCCCCTGCCCCAGCCCAAGGCCTGCACCCCAGACCCCCACCCAAACTCCCTCCCAGAGACTTAGGCAGGTGGGGGGCAGAATTTTTGGGGGGGAGGGTTCTGGGCACCACCAAAATTTATACAAACCTGCCACCCCTGGTAGTAAGTACAAAACACTGAATAAATGGTGAAAGTGATGTGCAGCCAAACATTACGTGTGGACTAAAAGCACACTTATGCACACACATACACACACACAGAGCAAATAATACAAACTCACCGGCCACCACACCATTTTATGTCCAGCCAGGAAGAATCCTCCCACTGTCCCTCGGTTAGACAAGAACATGGCCTGGAAAAAGAATGACTGGTTAAAATTTTCAGCTCTAAAAGGCAAACTATAGCCTGATGGCATAAATAACCAGGGCATCAATGAGAAAGAGGAACCAATATAATGCCCAGAAAGGGCCAGGGGAGAAAGATTTTGAAGGGAATAATATGACCTACCAATGACTGAGAAATGATTCTTATATCAATCTATAAATTAACCATTTCAAGCTTTATTGCTTCAACTTTCATTACACAAAGCCTGCAAAACCCAAATCTAAACACTGCACATGTTAAATACAACGAACTATACAATAAAAATAAAACACAAGAAAGGCATCACTGACCAAGGGCCTTGCCTGCAAACTGTCACTCATGGGAGCACTCCTGAAGGTGAGCAGGCCTCAAAACTGCTGATATAGCGAGTTTTATGTTCATGCACTAGAGATGACATACCTAGCTTTCTTACTCAATACTAGCGTGCTCCAGAGTTTCCCTGCAGGAATCCACTGCATGGCAATTTAACCTTTCCTGTTCTGATAGGATTGCCAAGGTACCCATACTTGTTAGCCTTTCTTCACTTCCACCGAGTAGCCAGTTAGGAATTATTTCCCTTACTCTCATATATCTATCAGGAGTGACTTTACAGGAAGTTTCCTTCACATATTTCACAGGGCCTAATCCAAAATCCTTTGCAGACAATGGGATCAGACCCAGAGAGGGCGTAAGCAAAAGTGAGCCAGATCGCAGATCCTAATATAGAAGCAAGAAAATAAACAAACAGGGACATGTTTCACTACATACAATAGTTGAATCAATATTTGTCTAATGGAAAAGGACAACACTGGTGGAAAGACACATTTAACATTAAACTTCTTAGCAACTATTTAAAACAAGTAGAAACTTCAATGCTCCAGTGCCTGAAATGCCACCTGCCAGCCCTCTTCTGCCCCAGGAGTTTATGTTACAAAGAATTACAGTCAATAATAAATTACAATAATCACACTTCAGGTCAGATTGTACCTTTAAGGCACAAGCCTGGTTCCCTCCCCAAGATGCAATGGAAGTGTTTCTGCCACAACACTCCTTAGAGGAGAGCATGCTGCACCCTTCTGAGTCAATGGACAGCTTGGCTGGCTAGAATGGGCTGATGAGGGGGCCTCCTCCCCATTCTTCCCTGCTCAGCTGAGGTTGCTTGCACCTCAGGGTGCGCTAGGAAGAAGCAGTGCTCTCATGAAAGGTATGGGCCCTCAATTGTGTTTTGCTTCTATGGGACGGAAAATAAATGGACAGCCTCTCTGGTACAATCCAACCCTTGGCCTCCAATACACTCGGCCAGAGGTACAGGTGCAGGTACTTCACATCTTCTAAGTGCTGAACAAACTTTAACTAGTTCATTGGCCTCAAAAGTTAATCACTTTTCAAAAGTCTGACAGGCTGCTAGTGTGGAAGATTTTGTCTGCAGCTGCTGCTCTGTTCTATGGCATGGATTCCTGGGTTATTTCAGGGGAGTGCACAGGTCGGTCACCGAGGGGCAGGTTTCCCTGACTCATTCTGGTTAACTGCTGGCTCTTTCCTCAAGGGACTAGCAGCATTTTCCCCAAGGACAGTCTCTGATCTCTCCTCAGATAGAATACACAGACTCTGTTCCTGAAAGGGATCTCAGCTCTTCAGTCAAGTGACACACTAGTGTTTTCCACTAGGGCAGCATCACAACAAAAACTATCTCCCTTTTTCCTTTGAATGTTTCAGTATCTAGACCTACTTTACCCATTAGGTGTGAAAGAACTGGTTTTTCTCTAAGGGCTTGTCTACACTAAGAATTTGTTTGCAGCCACCTGGGGTGTGACTCTATCCTGCATTAGCCTGCCATGGACTAACTTCAGTGAAATCCTGTTGATGGAAAGTTGTCATTCTCCTGTGTCCAGACCTTGTCTGTGCTCTCATCCATTTCATATCCATCCTGCAGTAATGCCCATCTGCCACTCCATTACCACCTCTCTTCCACCTTTAGCTCTATTCCAATTCCCACCATTTACAACTTCGTCCAGTACTCATCCCCACCTTCCTAGCACAATCAACCTCACTGCAATCCTCATTTATCCCACCTCTCACACTTCACTCCAATTCCTACGCCATCATGAATTCCCACTGCAGTTGCCTCTGCTCCAGGACCCCATCTCCAACCATCCACCACCATTACCATCCCATTCCCACCTCCACCCCCACTCTGTACTTCACCAGGTCCCCACCTCTAATCTGCTAAAAACTGCACTTCACCATTATCCAGATCTCCATCCATCAGCCATCTCCTGTAGTCCTATCAGTACAGATATCCCTCCTCCACCTTTACTCCGAGCCCCATCTATGCTCCCCTCCACCACAATCTCATCTTCTTCACCCCCAATCCAGGCCTCATACCAGGTCCTACTTCCCCAGTACTTCCCAACATAATCTCCATCCTGCCACCTTTTAATCCACGCCCCCAATAAAGCAGCAGGCAATTTATACATTTTAATTTATGAAGCCATTTTCCTAAAATCCAATAAACTATATTTTCATTAAGAAAGAAAAATCCAGACGTACCCATATTCCCACTGCCAGGGTTACCAAGAAATAGAGGACTATGACCAAGATGTCTGCAGCATTATTGATTTTTGTGGAGGAGTCCATCCTGCTTGCTTCTTCGGTTCCCTTCCTTCTCCTATCCTTAGATCACCGTTTGCAGACTTGAGATAATGATAAACCCGTTATTCCCCGACGTTTTGTTTAATGTTTAACTTCAGATTCACTTATTTCCTATGAGGTGCAAGTTGAAGCTGGTGCTTTTTCTTGAGCTGTGATTCCCACCAAAAACCTGCTCCTGTATTACAACTGTTGCAGTTTTCATAGGCAAAGGAAGTCCCCAGTTCACATCCACTGCAGAAGGTACTCAGTGCACTTGTAGCCTGAGAGCAGGTGTCTGGGAAGCAGTGAGCTGTAGAAGGAGTGGCGTGGACATAACATACTCAGTGTACGTACCTCACTCTTTGTGGATACTTTTTCTGTAGTGGTGGCTCCTGTAAATCTGGTCATGGAATGAATTGTTTCCTTAAGAACAGGATGCTTACCAAGACCAAAGGAAGAGTGACCTGACAGTTAGGGAAACGCCACGGTTCTCTGAGCTGACACTCCTGCTATGCTATCCCTCATTCCAACAAGAGTACATAATGGAGGTACAGCCCAGGATTTCTGGGAACAAGACAATAGGAAGTCACTTTGATCTCTTACATGTAGATATTTAGAGATGTGTCTGAGCCATAAAGAACTGGATAAGGAACTTGCTGGACCGTTAATGTTGATTTTGAAAAGCCTTAGAACCCTGCGGAAGTTCCAGAAGACCGGTAGAAAGCTAAAGCTGTGCCAATATTTAAAAGGGGCAAACTGGATGGCCCAAGTAATTGTAGGCCGGTCAGTCTGACATCGATCCTTAGCAAGATAATGAGCGACTGATATGGTACTCAATTAATAAAGAATTAGAGGTGGATAATATAATTAATGCTAATCAATATGGGTTTATGGAAAACAGATCCTATCACATTAACTTGATTTTTTTACATGCAATTACAAGTTTGGTTGATAAAGGTAACAGTGTTAATGTAATACAATGGCTCTCAAACTTTCCAGACTACTATACCCCTTTCAGGAGTCTGATTTGTCTTGTATACCCACAAGTTTCATCTCACTTAAAATCTACTTGTATACAAAATCGGACATAAAAATACAAAAATATCACAGCACAGTAATACTGAAGAAGTGTTTACTTTCTCGTTTTTACCATATAATTATAAAATAAATCAACTGGAATATAAATAATGTACTTATATTTCAGTGTATAGTATATAGAGCAGTATAAAAAAAGTCATTGTATGAAATTTTAGTTTGTACTGATTTCGCTAGTGTTTTTTATGTAGCTTGTTGTAAAACTAGGCAAATATCTAGGTGAGTTGATATGCCCCCTGGAAGACCTCTGTGTACCCCTGGCTGAAAACCACTGATGTAATATACTTAGACTTCTGTAGGCATTTGATTTGGTATCAACCACATTTTGATTAAAATCTAGAACAATATACAATTAACATGGCACACATTAAATGTATTAGAAACTGGCTAACTGATAGATCACAAAATGTTACTGTAATGAGGAATCACCATCAAGCAGCTGTGTTTCCAGCAAGATCCCACAGGGATCAGTTTTTGGCTCTATGCTATTTAACATTTTAATCAATGACCTAGAAGGAAACATAAAACCATCATTGATAAAGTTTGCAAAAGACTCAAATTGGAGGAATGATAAATAATTAAGAGGACAGGTCCTGGATAGCGATCTGGATCACTTGGTAAGCTGGTCACAAGCAAACAATATGCATTTAAATATGGCTACAGGTAAATCTACACTTTGTAGGAACAAAGAATGTAGGTGGTACTTAAAGGATGGACAACTCTCTCCTGGGAAGCAGTCACTCTGAAAAAGATTTGGGAGTAGTGGTGGATAATGAGCTGAGTGTGAGCTTCCAGTGCGCCACTGTGGCCAAAAGGAGCTATTGCAAACCTTGTGAGCATAAACAAGGAAACCTCAAGCAGGAGTAGAAAAGTAACTTTACCTCTGTATTTGGCACTGATGTGACCAGTCCTGGAATACTGCATCCAGTTCTGGGGTTCACAATTCAGGAAGGATGTTGATAAATTGAAGAGGGTTCAGAGAAGAGCCATGACAACAATTAAAGGACTAAGCAGACCTTATAGTGGTAGACTCAAGGTGATTAAATCTATTTAGCTTAACAAAGAGCAGATTAAGGGGTGACTTGATAACCATTTATAAGCACCTACATGGAGAACAAATATTTAATAATAGACTCTTCAGTCTCTCAGAGAAAGATATAATGTGATCCAATGGCTAGAAGTTGAAACAAGACAAATTCAGATGGGAAATAAGGCATAAAACTTTAACAGTGAGGGAAAGTAACCATTGGTACAATTTACCAAGGGTCATGGTGGATTCTCCACAACTGGCAATTTTTAAATCAAGATTGGATGTTTTTCCTAAAGATCTTAAAAGGGTTTGGTGGGGAGTTCTATGGCCTGTGTTATCCAGGTCAGACCACATGATCACAGTGGTCCCTTGTGGCCTTGGAATCTACAAATAACAAACAAACAAAGTTGAGATTCAGATATCAACATCGTGGAAGTGAACACAGGTTAGCTGTTCAGAACCAGGGTTTTTCCTCTGCCCACTGTCACCAATTATATAGTTCTAATTCCAGATGCCAATGGCCCCAAAGTTCAGCAGTGCTTAGGTCTGGTCCCATCTCCCATTATTTATTCTTTCTTGGGCTTCAAAATTAAATGAAACAAAATGACCTGATGCAAAAGAGAACTCAGATGTGGGGCAGGTTGTGACTCAGCAGAGTTTCTAAGTCAGTCAGAAACAGACCCTGAAAAGGGAAGTTTCCTTTGGAGATTCCTGTGATCACCTCTGATTGAGCAGGAGGTGGGTATTACAGTCATGATCAGAGGAGTGCAGGAAATGTAGGCAATAGGCCCAGGCATGGGTGGCGGGTGCCATAGGCTGGCGGAGGCTGTGTCTCCCCAAACAGCCAGGCGTGGCCCTGCCCACGCTCCACTCCCAGTCCCTCCTCCTGCTTCACGCTCTGCGTACAGCTCCAGTCCCCCAGTGCTGGCTCTGGCTATGCCACCTGCCATCCTGGCGCTCCCGGTCTGGGGGAGGGCTGCGGGCGTGTGCCACCCACCCTCCTGGCACAAGGAGGGCTAGCCTGGGATGGGGCCCGGTGACTGCGGTGGGCAGGGGGGAGAGACTCTGAGCTCCAGCGGGAGAAGGGGCAGGGCCTCGGGCAGAAAGGGCGGGGCTGCGGGCTAGCCTCAACCAGCCGGAAGTTCACACACCACCCATGGGCACAGGTACAAGAATTTCAGGGCTCTGGGGATATTTTGAAAGAGTGTTGTCTCTACCTCTACTTTGCCCCATGCAATCACAATTCATTTACAGTTCAGTAGGCTGCCTGCCAAAAACTGATTGCCTCATGGCATTTATCCTAAACAGTACACACAAAGCACAATGGGCTTGATTGTGATCTTATACAGGTTCTACATCATTGACTTTAGTGGAATTACTCCAGATTTTCAGTAGTGCTTGGAATCCTTTCCAAGCTATAATTGTTCTATGACAGCTAGTCTTTTTTCCTGTAATTAGTAGCTAAACAGGAGAGAGTGTCTATATCTAAAAGATCATCAGAAAGAACCATTCATCGGAAATCATAGAGTAAAAGAAGAATTCCATCTTTCTCATCTATACACTGCAATGCAATTTAAGCACCTACACATTTACAAGACGCTGTCCTCCAATATTTTAGGCACCTCTTCTTCAGCAGTCTGAAACCTCAGTTTGTTCTATAAACAGGTTGTGAAAATGCTAGTTTTAAATCCAATAGGGAAAAAATAATCCTAAAAGCTGGTGAGCACCCACAATTCTACAACCTTTTGTAACCACAACCTCTCTTGTTGTCTGCTCCAGAGAAAAAGGTCTTATTTACCAACCCTACTTACCAGGCAACGGTTTGTCTAAGACAGTATCATACAAAGGCTGATGCAAATAGATTCCCATGTGTCCTTGTAACACAAATTGTTTCATTTTCACTCATTCTTAGTTCATGAATTGAATTCCCGTTTCAGCTCCTGTAGCCACAACCAATTTAATTGGGTATTGGTCCTGCTTTTGAGCAGGGGGTTGGACTAGATGACCTCCTGAGGTCCCTTCCAACCTTGATATTCTATGATTCTATGAATTCTGCCAAAAGCAAATAGTAGGTTGTTGGGCCTGTTTCTCCACGGCCTGGCGCCCTGAGTTGTCATCCACCCCTGTGCAAACCGTCAATAGACTGTAAGATGCTGCTATTGGTGTAAATGACTGTAGACTTCTGCTTTACACCCACGGCACAGGAGAGACTCAGACCCCAAGAATTAATAATCACACAATTCACATCTTTACCTGTGGTGGCTGTATTGGTTTGGTTCTGCTTTCTCCTTGTCAGGTACAGATGTAACTGAGACACTCATTACAGTGTCAGGAAAAGACTGGCTGTGATTATCACAATGCTTGTGCCTCCATATCCTCCAGAGCCTGCAGTTCATATGGAATCCCACAGAGGCGTTGTACTCAGCACTGCACACAGCCTCTCACACACACAGCACAAAGTCAGCCTGTGGAATTCACTGACACGCAGGTACTCTAGCTGATCTTAAAAAAAAACCTGGCCAACAACAACATTTGTATTTATTCATGCAAAGATAGGAGCAAATAAAGTTCCTGCTGCAAAAGTGGGAGCTTCTCAGCAGGGGGCAGGAAATAGACTTCCACCCCACATTCCTCGGCAGGACATTCACAATTAGCTAGGTCCATTACTGGACATTTTCATCTTCCTGAAATACCAGCTCCAAAACTGGGCACTGCTGGAAGCAGGACATCAGACTTGAGTGACCAGTAATCTGATTCACTATGGAAAATCCTACATTCCTTCTTATGGGTCCATTTCAATTCCCTTTAAGTCAGAGACTTTCCATGTATATTAATGGGAGTGGGAGCATTCTCTATAGACCAGAGATGGGCAAACTACAGCCCGGGGGCCCACATTCAGCCCTCCAGATGTTTTAATCCGGCCCTCAAG